GACTAGTCGACTATCAAAATAATCGTTTGTGGCAGCCATAGTCATGAGTCTAATATCGTCTGATACCACGCCTCAGGAATGAGACCGATGAGTTCAGCTCTGTCACTCAGGTTTAATCTAACGTTCTGCCATCAATAGAAGTTTTTCAGTGTGTGGGTTGAGAAAGTCCATATCAACTCTGTCTCTTATGGTCTCATCTCAAAGTCAGACATCTGTTTTCTCTCCTGGAGGTCAGGGTCAAACTGGAGGTTTATTTTGAGGGTCAATGGCGATGATCTGCTCAGGGAGACACTGGCTCTAAAAATGTGTTTCATGACTGTGAGGTCATTGTTTGTCCCCACAGAAAGAGAGTGAACACCTCTCCTTTTTCCTGCTGAACATGGAAACCTGTTAAAACCTAAACCCCAACAGCAGAGAAGGGTGGAGGAGGGGGATGTGAGTGCACTGACCGGCGTGCTGGTCGTATGTGTACGAGGCCAGGCGGAGGGGACTGCTGCAGGAACCACACTGGAAGCAACTGCGATGGAAGAACAAGCCCTCTGCACTGAGACGCTCCATCACATAAACCCTCTGCTTACAGAAGAAACAGACGTGACTGCAGCTGGCAGAGGCCTGCGGGGACACACACAGCAACAGATGGAGGAAAGGTTAAAAGAAAGGAAGTGAAAGTGGAGGAAAGGAAACAAGGCTGGGATGGAAGGCAAGGTGACAGACTAAAAAGCTAAAAGAAAGGAGACATTAGGACATGAAGAATGAAAGAAATGAAGAAACCACAAGAAAAAAAGAAACGAGGAAAAGAAGTCTCAGCAAACTGAATTCCATCATCAGTTGGGCAAAGTTATCAGCTGATTTATCACAACATCTTCTTCACTTCAGCTGATTGAAACAAAGTCAAAGAGCCGAAGTGAACAAGGCGCAGAATACTGAAGCAGTCTTACCCCACCACCGTCCTCCTGACTCTGCATACGACTGGTTATCTGCTCAGCCAGTGAGCTCACGCCACCCGTGTACATTTGAAGGCACTTTGATCAGACAGACAGACACAGACACATTACAGCCACAGACCATGGGCCTCATTTATGAACCATATCCTTTCATCTGCAGTTAACCTGTGCAGTGAGCTGAAAATGAACTCCATATATTCACTTTTAATATCCAGGAAAGACGGCGAGACCTGAACCCTGACATCATCTGCCTCAAAGGACGTTTTCACACCTGTAGCGCGTGTCCTCTGGTCCGACTCAGCTGATGAGTTTAAAACTTGTAGTTTTGCTTTGTTTTGTTTCACTTCAGCCCGCTCATAGAACTCGGAGACATTCATGGTAGCTGCTAGCCTGTACAGACCTTTGCACGTCTATAGCACTTTCCTGCACTGAGAATACAAAGATATGTTCGTACAGGATGATGTTTAGCTCAAACTTGTAACATACGCTTGGTAGCTGGTTCGGTTGTTTTGGTCTGCACTCGAGTGCAATTACTGTGTTCACACCTGCACAAACGAACCGCGCACACAGGCAGAATAAACCAGAGGTTGATTTAAACTGACTAAACACTGCAGGTGTGAAAACAACCTTAGCTGACCATGAGCAGAAGCATACAGACCCAAGGGTCAGGGTTAGGGTAAGGGAAGGAAATGTGAGGGTGAGACTGTTAAAGAAGGGAAGGAAGATGCTGGTGTGGAAGTAACTTCTGTTTCCAAAAGTTTGTTCTTTGATCCACACACCTGAGTGTGAAGAAACTAACACCAGTGAGACCCCTTTAGATTTACACTATGCAGTTGTTATAAATGAGGCCCTTGATCCACCACTGAGAGTGATAGGATATCAAGTGCTTTTTACCAGCATCACGTTCAGCGTTATGGTGTTTAAGCAGGAATTTTCACATGTGACCTTTTACCTTCTCATCTGAGTAGTTCTCCACGTCTCCAGGATTTATTTAGTGTCTTTGTGTTTGTACTCTTTGGGGTGAAATATTGGGGTTAGTTTTCTATCAAAGCTGGCAGCAACATCTGAGGCATGACAGTAACTCCAGCTTCTTCACCCTGATCAGGGTTTATGGCCACGATACATCTGAGCTGTGGGACATCATACCGTTCAGGACCAGGTGAATCTTCCAGGAGATCTAACTTGTTTTCAGCGATGGGGCAGCCAGAGGAGAGGAAAATAAACCCTGCTTGTGATGCTGGTTGAAAACACAGCGACAGATGGAGGGAAAGTCCAGCCGCACAAAGTGCTCAGTCACCAAACACATCAGAGCTGCAGGCTGATCTGAGAACAGCTCCTCTGCTCAATAGGAGCTATTCATGAGCCTCACTTTGTTATTGATCACATGAAGCAGGCGATCGGTACAGCCCTGCAGGACTCAACGATCCACTGAGGATGTTCAGGCTGACGAGCACGAGTGCAGCCGGGGGACACCGAGGCCCGAACAAACCAGAGCACTACGGGAGGAGGGGTATACGTTCAGCACACAAACACACCAAAACCCATCAGAGATACCTGTTCAGGTACTTGCTCAGGCACCTGTTCGTCCCCATCGAGAACTGCCTGAGCCTTGAGCTTCTGTTTGAATCGAAAACTCATCTGCTCCTGCTGAAGAGTTCTTTTTTTCTGGCAGAGACAGCAGACGTTATTCCATCTGCAGTCTGGACTCTGCAGAAACTGTGACGATGCAGGAGGCTAGAACCAAAACCTGAACCAATCGGTGATGTCTATCACACACCATAGAGAAATCCTCTTTAAAGGGTCTCAATTCAAACCGAAAACTCAATTTGGTTCGTAGTTACATTACCCTGTGTGTCCAGCACATGAATCCATGAGAAAGAAACTTCTCACGAACCAAACTAACATCTGTGTGATTCACATGAGGATCTCAGAAGTATCAACAGACAGCAAAAAGGGAAATTATCTATTTATTTTAACCATCCAGCCACCTGCATCCTCTTAAATGAGTCTTTAAAGTGAAAATGTAGTTTATCAGTACTCCAACATGTCTCATCTGTCTCTACTGGCTTCTACTGGTCTTTACCGGCCTCCATGATGACAAGTGAACTGGAGCTGCAGTCGGCTGACTTTCTGCTGGTTGGGAGGCTGGAGGGAGGCTGGATAGCTCCCCCTGCTGGTTAACACAGGGTGTTTGCATTTATAGAAACATTAATAGTACACACATCATGTCCACAACCCCTATTTGACCATCAGAAATCAATATGATTCATCAGAAATCAGCACGCTCTCACTTGTCGACGGAAATCAGCAGCAGCAGCAGAAGAAGATGTCCTGCAGGTAGATGAACTTTCATGCAGCTTTGCCTGTAGCTGATTGGCCATCAAACGAACTCTGGACCGACTGGCCCCACCCACAAACTCCTCCTCAAATGACTGGCTCTCAACATCACCATTCAGGTCACATGACTGCAAAACAAAATATTCATTAAAAAAAAATAAATCAGGTCATAGTCATCAGAGGAAAGTCAGCTGCCAAACAGTAGTGAGTTTCCTGAGGTGGCTTCTCCCACAGACAGTGACATCAGCGGCTCCACCTTTGGCCCTGACACTGTGCTGGTGTCAGCTTTGTGGCATCCTCGCCATCAGTGGTGTGGTGTGTAAATGAGCAAAGAGGCCGCATCCATCAGTCCAGACTGATGAGAGAAAGAGTGGCCAGCTCAGGCCCTGGTGATGGAAGTTTCTCCATCTCCACATGAGTCACATGGCCTACAGAGACTGAAAAGGGTCATCAGAGTGAAAAAGAAGCATTTGTCTTAAGTTGTGAGTCTTGATGAATTAAAGAAAAGTCTTCATCTGAACCCGACCCTGAACTAGATAGGAGGAAGAAAATGGCCGGACAGCCGGACCGCTCACCATCTCCACTCTGAATGTCTAACGCTCTCTGTCCTTCAATGTCTGGTTCTGGTTGAAGATCTGAATAATTTAACATGAGCTGATTTTGAAGTGAAGTGTGGACACTGACCTCCTGCTGCTCTCGACTCTGCTGACTGGTCTTCCTCTTTTTACCCAATGCCCCCCCATGCTCCTGCAGATACCACAAATTATTACCATCTTTAATTTCACACAGATGACTGCAGGTATGAGGAGGTGGAACTACGCTACCTTTGGGTTTCTCTTCCTGGACAAACTGGTTCCCAGTCGGCTGAGGAGGGAGGCGGGAGCGATGAGAGCTGATCGCAGGTCAGTGATGTGCCTCAAGCAGCCTGAAACAAACATGTTGGATTACCACGTCTTTTTTAGCAGCCCTTTTCAGTAGAACGTGTGATCGGGAGCAGTTTGCAGCCTCACCCATAGGGGGCGGCGAGTCTTTGAGCAGTTGGTAAAACTGGCTCAGGTACATGACCATCGACAGAGAGTCAGGCTCTTCCACAGACGACATTTCCTCCACCGTCATCAATGGAGAAATCCCAAACTCTTGTTCAGCCACATCAAAGCCGAGTCGAGTGTTTTCTTCCACTGATGACTCGTCCAGAGAGTCAAAGTCTCTGAGGAGAGGCAGGAGTCAACTCAGACCTCAGAAGAAGCAAAACTCTCACCTTTAAAGGACCATTCCTCTCTACACTCCATGAACAAATGTTTATGACCTTTTCGTTCTATCTTTTAAATTATTCATAGGTAAATGTACATGAGTGAAGCACAGAAGGTTGATATAGTAAACTTTCTGTTATTTATAAGTTGTTGACTTTCGCACCATGTTCTTTCACTGCTCTTGAAGCTTGTTTTATTGATGATGAAGTTTTCTCACATAATGACACAGGAAGTTGTTTCTGACAGAACATGAATCTCTTTGTTCAGTCCGACAGGATATCTCACAACACAGTTTGTCCCTCTGGATTCTGAGTACCGTATTTTTCGGACCACAAGGTGCACTGGATTATAAGGCGCATTAAGCGGGAAAAAAAAGAAGAAAAAAGTCAGATAAGTCCAATTTTGATTCATTAATGTTGAATTCTCTCGCAGCTGCTCTATTCCCGTGTTGTTGCAGTATATTAATGACTAACCTTGTATTGTGGATGGATTATCTCAGTTGTTCTCCTGACTGAACTTTGGTCCGTTTACAGCATCCTGCCATGCGTTTTCATTTGTCCCTAACCATCGGGAACCCTCACGTTAAGTTTTATTGAGTGGAAAAAAGTTTGCGTTCATCCTCCAGCTTCACTGTGTTTATGTTATGCTAACATAGCCGTGTCGCTAGCGATCATGTAACACGTCATTATATACCAGCTAGTCCAACTTCAGTAACCCTACAAACGTCACTGCTGTTTAGTTGTCTGTCTTCATTTATGTTGGAAGTGATAACAGAGCTGCACGTTTTAATTTTTTCAGTAATCTCTCAGTCAGAACATGCTGTATCATGTTTAGGTGGAAACTATCGAGCTAACTTCCTGCTAACTTCTAACTCTGTTAAATTTAATAAATTCTGTTTTCATGGATGCCTGGATGTTAAACTTAATTGTTACACCTGGTAAAGCAGCAATGCTTATCATTTTATTAAAGATGAAAGAATTTAGACAGTTTTTAACTCTCAGTGATGCTGCAGTGTTCGTTTGACTTTGGGACCTGAAGCAGATGGAGTTTTGGACCCAGTTTACTACGTGAGGCTCCTAACTACGGTAGCCCTAATGCCCCGGTGCGGCTCGTAGCATACCAAAGTGGTACTAAAACATTTTTGACTAATGTTTGAGCGCCATGTACCACATAAAATCGGTTCGAGGTTAGTAAGCACAACCAGAATTCATACATAAGGCACACCGGATTGTAAGGCGCACTGTCGATATTTGTGAAAATTAAAGGATTTTAAGTGCACCTTATAGTGCGGAAAGTACGGTAGGTCTGAATGAACTTTTCAAAAGTCATGTGACTAAAAGTCATGTGACTAAAAACCCAAACACAGAGTGATGGAAACTGTCCTCAGAGCAGTTTTAACTAAAAGTAATTACATCAGATCAGATCGGTATCGGTGGATAAGAGCACACAGGGCGAGGCCACTCCTCCAGGAAGTAGTCAGGTCAGTAACATTAACGCCATGGTAACCACAAGTCTGTTCCTGACACCAAGTCAGCAGCTGATTGGATCGAGAGAAGGATTCTGTGAGAAGAGACAGAAAGAGAGAGGGAACCAGTCAAATGAAATCCTCAGAGCATTTTTAAACAGGAAGTTGAATATCCTTCATCAGCTGCTGCTCTTCAGCTGAAGGCTTAGGCTTTCCAAGAAAGTTTGTCAGATCTTCTATTTGTCAGATCGGTTCCTGAAAATGACGTAATGAAGTTCATCAAGGCTTTTATACACACACACAAAAGTTATATTATATATTATAAAAATTATATATATATTCATATATATAAATTATCTATCTATCTATCTATCTATCTATCTATATATATATATACTTTTTAGAAGCTGAGAATCATGCACAGTGTTGGGACAGAGAGGCAATGCTGCCACCATCAGGTCAGACTGTGAACTAAAAAACTTCTCTCTAACGTTCATCAATCACACTGTAGTTAAAAAAACAAAACAAAAAAACATCTTCAGAGTAAAGTTATCCCACCCTGTCTGAGGTATCTGGGGGAGGGGAGCCGGATGATATCACTGCAGTCTGTGGTTAGCCCCACCTCTTCTCCTGTGTCAACCAGGTGCCTCACCTGAAGACAAAAAAAAATATCCCTTCATACAGGAGCAGCTTTTACTTGTTTATTGATTCAGCTTTAAATTCTTCAGTCCAACCAAACAGCATCAACAGAGACAAAAAAGCCCTTCCCGCTCTGTGTTTACCTGGGCAGGTGTGACGGTCAAAAGGCTGGTATTCACGTATCTTGTTGTTGGATCTACAGAGAACAGAGTGATGTTCTTTTGCATGTTCTCTGGAGTCGTCTGAGGGAGGAGACGGTACAAACTCTCTCTGTAGGAAAGGCACACAAACAGACATAATGTTGCCAGGTGTGAGAAAACAGCAGATGTATCCTGTCCAGGTGTGTCTTCACCTCTCAGCCAGGACATCCAGAGGAGCTGCGCCCTGAGCCCAACTTCGTATCATCCAAGCCGAATCCAGAGCTGCCAGAAACCCTCGAGCGACTCCCGTCCCCATCGGCCAGAAGGGCTGCAAACAGACAGGAAGACTCTGTAATTAATCAAGGTATCTCACTTCCAACAGCCTGTTTACCTCCACCGGTCTCACCTCCAATAGGCTGTCTCCAACCAGTGTGACCAGCAGCTGGTGTCCGTGGCGTTGGCGAACCATAGCAGCGTTCTCTGATGCATACATGCAGGTGAAGTCGAACATGGCAACATCAGGCTGACCATAGTGATTCATGGCGAAGTCCAGAGTTGGCAGCTGGTGATTGGTGGAGAAGTCTGCAGCCTCACGGGCATATGCCTGCAATGCATTCTGGTCAACGTTCCCTCGAGAGAGGAGCAGCTCTGTGTCTGCAAAATCCTATAAAACAACAAAGGCATCTACTATTAATTCAGGCTTATGTGAGTTTGTTTGAGGAGTGTGACTTCACGCAGAATTACTCCACAACTGCCAGCCACCTCAATGTGGTGGAAAGGTTTGTAGGTTCCCAGTGACCCTGAGAGCTATGAATACCTTGCCCTGAAATAAAAAACCAAAGCCCCCTCCTGGAGGTAGACCTGAGAGCAGAGCTTACCGGGGAGTGTTTGATAACAAGACCTTGATATGTGGTCCATGACTGGGTGCAGTTCAGGGTAACTATCTTCAGAACTCTCTGGAAGGCTTCCAGACGTACCTGGTAAACCCAAACAGGTGGTGAAGGTGAATTGGAAATCCCATGTAAATGAGGGTTTTCACTCTCACCTCTAGGACAATTTGTCATGTATCCTTGAATAAGGAGGGGGCAGTGAGTCATGTTCAAAAACATTGCAGATTTGAACAGATGTGGGCCACAGCCATCCTTTCTAGTTGACCTCTGGGTCTGCTGAAAAGCAGATAGGTGCCAGGAAGCTAGAAAGAGCTGTGGTTTTGACAGTCAAAATCAAAACAGTGTGGAAGGAGTTTAGAGAGGCCACGGAGAAGGACTACTGACAAGAGTAAAGAAAGTCTGAAGACTCAGAAGAAGCAGCTTCATTGGAGAGGCTCCTGGGGTGGTTAAGAAGCTCCCAGAGAGCAAGATGCAAGTTTTGGATGAGATTCACCTCGAAATGCTAAAATTATTCAACAGCAATGGTGTGGGTTCATGACTCAGCTCATGGACGGAGGGATGGATAGAGAATGACTCCAGGTGTGTGTGTGTGTGTTACCTGCAGAATGACTCCTTTTTCCAATAGACTCTGTTTCTTTGCTGTCATCACAAAATAGTGTGTGTCATCTTTGTAGTACACAATATTCTCCAAGTCAATCCCTAAAACAGGCAGACACAGGTGAACATCACACCTAGAGTCTCTGAATGCAGACTCCAGGTGTGTGTCAACTTTTAGGAACAAACCAGTTTCCTGCCGTAGCTCCTGGAAAAACCTTTGGTTAAAGATGAATGCCACACCGCTGATCTCCTCCACTTTGGCTTCAGCTGTGGTGTTTCTGTTCTTGAAGTTTGCTGTGATGGCGATGGCAAGCTTCCCCCTGAACTCTTTACGCCTGAAACCTGTTCACACACACGGATACAGGACAACATGGTCAGGTACACGGTGTTTACATTTTAGAAAAGGGGTGTCGAACAGCACATAGTCCAGAGAAGTATCATACCAGTCTGAAATGTTATAATGATGCTGTTTCTATATAGCAGTCAGGGTTCCGATTTACAGGTGGATTAACCTCCATCAGACTGTGAGAAAAAGGCTTACACTGCAGTACTGATTCAAAAGTAGGTTACAACTTTCAGATGGACTGGAAGACACAAAAACTCTTAGAAGAACTGAAATTGTTGTACCTGATGATTTTGATGTGCCTGACAGTGTTGTTGTACCTGACTATGTTGATGTACCTGATGATCTTGTTGTACTTGCCTATGATGCCTGATGATGTTGATTTACCTGATGATGCTGATGTACATGACTATTTTTTTTAATACCTGGTAGTGTTATTGTACCTGGCAGTGTGTTCCTGCGTCCATCTGCTCCAATTATTACATCAAACTCCAGCTGACTCACAGGGTGATTCTTTGGACTCACCTCCATTCTCCAGCCCAGCTCTGGACAGGTACATAGATACACAGAAAGTTGAGGAATCTACATTTTAAGTGCTTTTAGGACTGAAAAATAAATTCATACGTACTGTCTGTCTTTCATTTCTTTCGCTCACATATTCTGCAGCTCAGTTTATGACCCTGATGATGGCTACTATTCACCTGCTTCTGTGTTTTCTAATGAACAATAACAAGGTTACACCAATGATTTCTTTCAACACTTTCACTCTAGGTAAAATTTTGTCTGACCTCAGGCCTTATACCCCCATTGTCACTTTGGCTGACAGTTTAACTCGGTTTGCATGTAAAAATTGCAACTGTGAACACACTTCAGTTTTCTTCTAGCAATACATACAGCATTGTCTGGTTAATTATTCATACAGCGGCCCCTTTGTTCAAACTCTTAGGCCGTACTGTGTCTGTGCTGGTCCTCTGCTGGCTCCACCAGCTTTTTAAACTCCACGTTGACATGAACTTCGACCCCCAGGAGCAGGGCGACCTTCAACAGGACAAGCTGCAGTTGGCGAATACCTGCAGACAGGAAACGGCAAGTGGTGACTGGATGGTTTGGCTGCTCTGATGAGACAGAAGCAGAATGCTGACTCACTGATGTGGTCGATGGAGCCGGCACAAAACCTTCCATAGAACTTTTTGGCTCCGAGGCCCCGCAGGTCGTGGATGGTGAAGGGCCATAAGTGGAGCACATTGTTCCTGGAGAAGGAGTCCCTCTTCTCCAGCAGCACCACTCGAGCTCCCATGAAGCTCAGCTCCACTGCTGTCCGCAGACCGCAAGGCCCTGCACCAATGATAACACACTGGCCAGCGAGAGAGGAGACAACAGACGATCAGACACATTCTTACCTTCTCTCTTTTTTTTTAACCTTAAAGTAAAGCCTTATATCAACAGTTCAAGATCATATTACTTTAAGACCAAAATCTGTGAATGCTGTTTTAATTTCTCTGCCATGAACAGTCAATCTATGAAGTAGTAAGGTGTTCCTAATAAAATGACTGAGTAACATGTCTTAGTATGTTTGAACCGAAGCTCCTGCTGTGTGTTTTTAAAACGTACAGTCACATCGCTGCAGGCTCGCGCCCTCTGGTACTCCTCCTGCGCCCCCCTCCGGTCCAGCTTGGCCCACAGACCATTCGCCCTCCAGTAGTTAAGGCGGCGTTTAATCGGTCGGTACAGTGGCCTTTCGGCAGTGCTTGGGTCCAGCTGCAGATGTTCACAAAGCTGGCTGAAGGAGTGCAGCGCCGCCCTGCAGGTTGATGCTGATACAAACTCATCAAACAGCTCCTGAGCTTGGCATTCTGGGAAAGACTGGTCTTCCATGGTGACCTCTGAGGCTGCAGGGCACCATGGGAAGGATGTCACCTGCTGATGATGTCACCTGTGATCTCCAGCTCGCTCTCTGTCTGGTGAAAGGACAGGAAGTGGAATTACAGACTATGATGCCTAATTGAGGATAAAAGCTAAAAATTTGAGGCGCTGTTTGTGAGGTTTGTGTCTTCCTGTGGCTCACCCCCAATTACAAATACGGATACAGCCTGAGACAGTACAGAAAAGTACTTACTGATTCATGGTGATACTTAAAGTGCAGGTACCGGAAAACAAAGGAAAAACACTTGGATGCTTTAAAGGAAAGCAGAACCCTCACAATTTTACAGTCCTGAGTACCTTTTTGTTATTTTAGAGGTACTTTGGAGTACTTCAGAGGTAGGTGGGAAATGTTTCTCCCTCTCAGGTTGTAGTTAATGCTACCATTAGTGTTTATATGGTGTTTTCCACAGATACGATTCACAAGAGTCATTGCTTCATAGAAAACAATTTTAAGATAACAGAACATTCAACAGTCACTGAAACAAACTGATCAGCCGTTCTGTGATACAACATCTATCCTGTATACTGCACGAGGCTGTGACCATCGATGATCTCACATCTGTTGGATTTTGTGTAAAGCTGACCAACTCTTCAGCGTTGTCATGCTGATCGTGTCCCAGAGCTGAAAGACAAATCATTTTCTTCCTTTAACTAAAACTGATCCTGAAGTACGACCTCACTACCTCAGAGGCTACAGCAGCCGTGGCGCTTTGTCCTGAAACAGCTGCAATCTATACATTTTTCTGCTTTTTTTTTCTTCCTAAGAATAGAATTATGTCTTTAATCTCAAAACTGTCACCAATATTTTTTTTCTTAATGTGGTCTTAATACTCCTTTATACTTCTTTGTGTGAGATGCGATTTAAACCATTGTACCTGAAACGCTCACAGAGTCGGCTCAATCTGATGGTCAGCTGTGTCGCGTGCAGAGCTGAGGTCCAGTCGTGCATCCAACACGTTCTGAGCAAAGCGGTTTGGTGGAGTGCTTCCTGACAGTTAACAGTTAATTAAAGTTATTGTAAACGGGACATCAGCAACAGCGCTCTGGAATAAAGGAATCTGCTTCCACTGCCGGGTGCACTCTGTAGTCGTGACAACCTGGACTTAAGGTGACAGAGCAGCTGAAGGGAAGGTGTGACGACCTGGATGGAGTCCAGACCCCCTGCTGATAAACTCCTGCTACACCGAGGCTGCGTTCACAGACACTCAGGCGACTGCTGAAAATAACACAGCAGCTCTACAGACATGGCACTGGAAATTAAAACTAGAAAACCCTTTTCGTTCAGCTCTGTTTGAATTTCAGAATAAAACATCAATAAATAATCCATTAACCATTTCAGCACATTGCTCAATACATATCTTTTTAAAAGTGTTCACTGCAGAGACATCAAACCATTCAAACAGCAAAACCTCAGATCACTGGAACTGATCAGATTATTGATCATCATCTCAGAGCGAGTTAAATGATAATGATGTCTCTGTGTTGTAGTCACATGACCAGCCGTCAGCCTGAGTATGTGTTTGAAACAAAGAGGCTCACAGAGCACGGCTGTCAGTACCAAGCACCAACACGCACGTTTGTCTGCCTCTGTAAGGACCCTCAGTGACACGATGCTTTCATAACCTATACCGTCATGACCTCTGACCCCTGAGGTGAGAATAAACAACCTCACAAAGACAGACAAACAGCAGCAGATCTGAGCGTGTTTCACTTTACTGGATTTAACACAGAGGAGAGTAATTGATTTATTAGTCTATTGATTATCTGTGCTTCAGACGGACAGCTGAGGGTGAGACCACAGTTTGATGTTTAAATAAAGTTTGAGTCAAAGATCTCAGTGAAAGTCAAGACGATTTGTCAGCTGCTGTTTCTCGATATTATGCATTTGGAGTACTTTGTCTCACTCTGTTCACCGTGCAGTAGATATTTCAAACTGACCAAAAAGATATCGAGCTGCTCGGTTTTCTTTCTCAAGATTCAGCATCATCTTGTTCTTTATTCAGCTGAGTGTAAAACACGGTTACAGCAAACTCTGAATCTTTCTGCAGCCTTTTTATTTGCAGCTCAACTCTACAGCACTCAGAAAAACTCAATCCCACCACACACACACCTGTGACTCAAAAAATAAAAGTCTGCTTTTACTTCCTGTCTGCAGACTGAATGGAAACAGACAGAAATGTACTCACATCTCAGAGCTGCCAGCCGCCTGCTGCTCGCCTCCAACTGCTACTGCTCCCCAGCACACACTAATCCACTTTAATCACACAGACACACTCCTGTCAGTGTGGTCAAATGTCCTCACAGTGTCTGAAACTTATAAAGCTGGTCAAACAGGCGCACTGACACACACAGTGTGTAGCTGAGGTCAGGGGGCGTTGTTAGATTGGGGCAAGCCCCGCCCCCTGAGTGTCAGACAGAGAGCGGATCCTGATGGTAATCTGTGAGTTAACAAGCTTAACGGGAGCTGGGCGGCAGCCTCAGATCATCTTTGTTTGTGATGAAGTAGAGTTCATCACTGTGACATTCATCACATTGCAAGGATCAAGCATGATTGGTCATGTGACCTCAGACTTCATAGGTGTAAATAACACCATCACTAATAATTAGCCCCACAGGTACAGAGACAGGAGCTCATGTGGGAACCTATCAGCAATCACGTGATCACTCAGACAAGGACTGCAGCGCAGAAACTGTCTTGACATCATCAGGTCTGTGTGAAGAATCTTAAATAACCCCGTTTGTCACCAAGCAGCTCTCTGTGTGACATCCTACGTTAAAGGCCACGTGAACGTCACATATCAAACCATCTTTTACTCTTAGACTGCTTACCTGAGATTTGCAGCCAAACCTCCACCATCATCAGCTAAAAGGCTGTGTGGCTGTTGTGGTCCTGAGAGTGTCAGGTGGATGTGACTTCATAAGCCTATGCAAAGAGGACACTGGACTTGCTCTTACTCTGGCTTTTCTATTTATTCAGGTACAAAGACAACATCACACCTCATTATCAACAGTGTGTTATGCAACTGCAACATTCAGGCCTCAGGGTTGGGGTGACTACTTGTTTTTCTTAGTTAACAAAAGACTAATCTACATTCCTACAACACAATGCTGTCAAAGTCTTTCTTCAAAAGTTCAAACAGGTGTGTGATCATGGTGTGGCAGGTGTGTGGCAGTTTTATTTTTTTTTCTTATGGTAACTAAGAGATAAGAGCTTTTATTTCTAACTTAAAAAAAACAACAAAAATAATTAAAAAACATTAATTTTTCTCATATAATGTTGTTATACAAAAACCACAGGTTTCATGTTATACTATCAATCATGGGGTTGAAAAATGTTCCTAGGCTGTAAACAGCATGCAGCTAGTAAGAACCAACATGAGCAACATGAGTGAGGATGAGAACAGTTGAAGGACCTGCCTCAATATGCGTACTTTTGCATACTTGCAGTCTCAATTACGCAAGTACTGTTCCAGTTCAAAGTACAGTGGTCCCTTGCTATAACGCGGTTCACCTTTCGCAGCTTTTTTTAAAATGCAATTTAGCATGCTTTTTTTTTAATAGCACAAGTGTTCTGCATCCAATCAGGATGCAGAACACTTGAATGCTGGCCTAATCTCTGCATTTCGTTTGGAAATTTTCAGCTATCTCTAAAGGTTCTGATATAAATCAATTTGGTATTTTTAATAGCCATTTGTTCATACAAATGTTATACTATCCCATATAATGTTTAAAAACCTTAAATTATTTTTACGTTTCTATGTACATTAATTTTTAATAAAGCACCTGATTGTTTTGCTGTCATTTTCCCCTCCTATAAAGGCATTTCTTTGCTTGAATTATTATTATACCAATGCAATATTTAATGTTTTATATTTTAATCAAGGGACAAGTGAGAAAACCCGGGCTCTCGTTGAGTGGTGGGCGGAAAATGAGAGCCTTTTTACAGGAAGGAGAAATTCCTGCAAGACTTGATGGGAGTAAATACTGATTTTGACTGGTTTTGCTGCTCCCCGTGTTCTAGGGAAGGATTAGAGGAACACATCTTACGATAACTAGCTATTGAAGTGACAGTGCCACATTCTTTTCCTTCAGGGACTTTGTTAGCTCTTCAGGCCTGGCCATAGCAGCCAAGCAAGCAAAAAAGAAGTGGAACAATCTGAAGACCAAATACAAGGTAATGTACCTGTTCCTATCTGATTCCTTAGAGTGGTTTAAAAAAAATACTTGTTTACCATTCCTTAAATGCAAGGCCCTGTTTTGTTTTGTTTTGTTTTTTTAAATAAAATGCACTTTGCAATTTAGTAATACAGCCCATGTAACTGTGATAATATAGCAATTAATACATATTTTTAGGAGCTTAAGGACCCACCAACAGGCAAGGGTGTAGAGGAAGGTAGCCCGACTGCCGCCACAGGTGGTGCAGTCAGCACTCCGGCCTCATCCCCTTCTACAGAAGTGTCGAGGAAGAGCCAGAAGAAGGGGCCCAGGGACAGCCACGCTATACTACAATTTTTAAAAGACCAGGCGGAAAGAGAGGAAAAAAGAGAGAGAGCGGCTCTGGCTAGGGAGAAAGAGAGGGAGAGGGCAGCTACTGAAAGGGCAGAGCGATATATGTCATGGCATAGAAACACCAGGCTATATTATTGTATTAGTGGCATTGACCTGTGAGTATATTTGATACTTTGCTAAGGCCTTATAATAGTCGTGTTACTTCTCTGTCTCTTATGTTAAGCACTTTGGTATACCGCTGGTTCTTAAATGTGCTCTATAAATAAAGTTTGTTGTTGTTGTTTGTTATTCGTTTTTGGGGTTTTTTTATGACTCAAACTTTATTAGATTTTAATATTAAAAAACAAAAACAACAAAAAACCCCAAAACAACAGAAGATAACAGAATGGACATTCCCAGTCACAACAACAAAACAAATTGAGAATCAATACATATTCTCATGCAAAAAAACAAAATCCAAAATAACGTAAATACACAACGTTACCAATATTACCAATATACCAATATTTCACATAGACCCAATTGCAGCTATCATATTTAGTCCGACCTTAACTACTTTAGCCGGATACGTCACTGACCTGTATATGAAAGGTAGTTGGCCCATTTATCATTATAGTCATCCAGTCTATTTAGCAGCCTATATGATAATCTTTCGTAAGCTGCCACTTGTCCCAGAGAAATATACCATTGAGAGAAGGTAGGAGTCGATGAGGCCTTCCACTCTTTCACCAACAGCTTCCTCCCCAGCATAATAGCCGTTTGTACCCAACGAGCAAGAGGAGTGGGTAAGTGACTCAAAGCTGAAGGGTCTCCTAATACATAAAGACTGTTCATAAATGGGACCCCTTGGCCTACAACCTTCTCTACTACAGTGTGAATATGAATCCAATAATCTTGGACTTTGGAGCATCCCCAAAGCAAATGTAAAAGTGTGCCAGTATCCTGCTGGCACTTCCAGCATGCGTTGTCAGTCGCTAGTGCAACCATGAGGGTGTCCAGTAAACTCTATTTAAAATCTTAAATTGAACCAATCTTGAACGCAGTTCACGTGACATTTTTTTCAGATTCCTAAGAAACCATTCCATTCCTCCACTGTAAAGCTGAGATTTAAGTCCATTTCCCACGTTCTTTTGAGGGACAGTGTGTTAGGATCGGAAGCTAATAAAAGCATTTTGTAATAAGCTGATGCCTCTTGTCCACGAACCTCCAGAATTGTCCTTAATACGAAAATGAAGCGAGCACGTAATATTCATCATTTATATCTCTCTCTAAACGTGTCTGTTTCTTTGCAAGCTCCTTTGATCTCTCTCTAAACATAATCAAAACACCATTAATAAGGTTTTATTAATGGAGTTTTGGAGCCACGAACTTTTCCAGTACTTTGGGGTCCAGGAAAAAACAAACAAACAAAAACAAACAAAAAACAACAACAAAAACAAACAAACAAAAAACAAAACAGGAGAATATTACTACCCAGAAATATAAACAAAAGCGACAGATGAAGGGGAAAAATCCCAACAAAGAACGACAAAAACAAACAGGCAAACAAACCGGTTTTACACCATGGGGCGAATGAAAGTCATTGCTTTTTTATGGTCCTCAAAGCGACGCGATCCCTGAGGAGCTTTCACAACAAGCACTGCTGGGTAAATTAAGGAGAAACCAATACGTTTGTTATGCAGAAGCTTCTTGCACTCATTAAACTTATTCCGCTTCTCACTCAGCAACTTTGAGTAGTCCGGGAAGATCATTATACGGTGACCTTCCCATACGACGTCCCCCAGGCGACGGGCAGCCTCGGCTATTAGTTATTTTTAAAAATGTACTGAGTCAAGAAGGCACGCCATCAAGGCACGTCTCCTCCCCCTCATCTTCATTCTGGCACTTCTCTCCCGGATCAGTCTTCTCAGTTGCGCTTCTTCTTCTTCAGCCTTAAGGTACATAATGCCAGGAGCAACTACGACAAGCACCCGATCCATTTTCCTTTTCTTATCTTTTTACTCAGCAGATGAACCACCGATACCATAAACTATTCCCGCGATTATTTCCCGCCGGTGGCTCTTTATATAGGCGCACTGCTATAGTGCAGGTAAAGTAATTTATAAAATATTTTCATGTATTATTTTTCAATGAAAACACACACACAGTAATGTTTAGATATAATTTTATTGTATCCAGCCCGGTCATGTTAGCCTGACCTGTGATGCACTCCCGTACTTGAGAATAGAGAAAGACTCATACTAAACATGAGAGCCAGAGGAAGTTCATTTACACTGCACTCACAGGATGTTCTCATTAAATTCAGAGTTTTATATGATCAAAGTAAAACATGACATCTGTAGCATGAAGGAAAAAAAAACATCCACAGGTAGACTATCTCACACAAACACTTTGTTCAATAGTTGGAGTTTATTAATGAGCATACAGAATTACTGTTAGAGCCTACTGTACCTGTACCTTCTGGATATGTTTATAAAATATACGGTAATTATTATTCTTTGCATACAAAGAGCCAGAAATAATGTTACATTGTTATATTGTTGAATCTTTTAAGCATAAAGTCACAGCTGATTTATGTGAAGTGCAGGAGGAGGTGAAAGATAATCCTACAAAAACCAGAGAAACAGCTCAGAACTGGCCTGACAACCTGAACAATGTAAGATTTTCTTCACTGATGCTAACAAACATTCATTCCCTTTGAGCTGTTAATGAAGTCACAGCAACACCTGAGGTCAGTATCATATTTAAAGTCTTTACACATGTAACCAAAATGAAATAACAAAGAGCAGCAGTTTGTTCTGAGACACCATCAGGAGTTTTGCTGAAAAAATCCAAACAAACAAACAAACAAACATGTCAGACCACGGCATTTAGACATAAGAAAAAAGAACAAAGCTCATACAAAATCACATTCTCACCAGCAGAGCTCGTCCTTTGGTTTCTATTGGCATCAGGAAGTTTCCTAGAGCGCAGAGCACACAGGCCACAGCGAACGGACAGAGAGCCAGAATCACCGACTGAGACATCAGCACCTGAAGTACACGCAGAGCAATGATAGACTGGACCAAAAACCTGAAAACTCTGATCATTAAGCAGGACAGCCAACGCACCTGAGCAATGAACGGAGCGATCATTCCTCCGATGCGACTGAACGACGTACAGAAACCCATCCCCAGAGAGCGCGCCACCGTGGGGTACACCTGAGAAACCAAAACACCTGTCACCTCAGACCCGGTCCTTAAAAAATGCACCGTTGAAGCCAGCAGACTGTGAACGTACCTCTGCTGTGTAGATGTAAACCACATTAAAGTTCATGGAGACCAGAGACCGCAGCAGAAACAGCAGCACCGTGAAGCCAAACCTGCACGACCAAAACAGACCAGATGACATCACAAACCTTGGCCTGCTCTAATGAGATGACATCATACACCTGGACCCGGTCAGGGGGGTCCAGTCTGTGGGGCTCTTACATAGTGGAGCAAATGTTGAGTATCATAAAGAAAAAGGCTGCTAACAGCTGCAGCACGGTCAGAGTCATCTTGCGTCCAAACACGTTGAGCAGAGCGATGTTTGCTGGGACCACTGCGAGGATAGAAGAGAGGAGTCAGAGTAGACCTGATCCGGGAGCAGCACAGCAGCAAACCTTCGCAGTACGTTTTAGGAATTATTCTGCAAGAGTGGCTGAAAAATTGATGAACTGAAAATTCTCTCAACGCATTTCGCTGACGATGACTCACATGCAACCTCTCCGAGGCAGCTGATAAGCAGAGTCTGGTAGTCACTGTAACCAAAGGGGATGCAGTAACACAGTCCATCCTCATGGCGATGTTTGACCTGATGCTCTTTGTCAGCATTGATCACACACAACAGGTTCTTCTCCAACAGCTCCGAACTGCTCAGTACTGAGCCGTAGTATATAAACGATGCCACAAACCTGACAGTGAAACAAATGAAAGTTGGTCCTGAACAGGTCCAAGAAGGATTATACATACTGGGTATAACAACCACATTCAATGACTTCTACAAACCTCGGATGTCTTTATGATTGGGGGGGGGGAAAACTGCTGGGAGCATTTTAAGTTGTCTACAAAATGTTTCCAGAAATGCTTGAAACACTTCATAGAAAACTTTTGTCTGTATAAACTTAGTACTTTAAATCTCCCTATTTGGCATCCAATCAGAAGACATAATACAGTATTCTCCTCTATGCCTTTGATACCTTACTATGTTTTAATATAAAGCATGCATACTTTCTGATTTAGTTTCCTTAAAGAAGAAAACTGCTGGACAGTTTGAGTTTTTCATGATTATTCCTGTCTGTAAATGTAACCTGTGCAAACCTCCAGTTTGCTTTCACTGGATCTTTTGCTTTTATCTGATAATTTGCTCCTTTGATGCCCTTTTACTGTGACGGCTATGTAGCCTGCTTTTATTAAAACACTAAAAAATAAAATACCATTACCATGTGTACCAGAGCAGTACAGATGTCCTCCTGAATGATGGGCTGAGCAGAATTCTCCAGCTGCCTCTTTCGCTCTGAAAGATACAGGAACATTCACACCAAATATCCTATGACTGAATCTAGTGATACCCTCAGATTCAACTCAGTTCAACAGTTTTATTTATATGGCGCCAAATCACAATGGCAATCACCTCAAGTTGCTTTATATTATGAGCCACCATCAGGACATCCCTGTGAATTACACATACTTCCCTGTGTAGTGTTTTTCCAGTAGACTGTTATCATAAACTTTAAGATAAAGCAATTTTGAAATATTTTTAATCATTTTGACAGCAAAACATTTTCAGAAGCTGAAAATGTTTTGCTCTCAGCAAACTACTTTCAGGAAGATCAATACACTTATTTCAAGTTTTACTCACTACACTTAACGCACCGTAACGGGCTCCACGAGTCGTCCTGGCGGAAGAGAAGCTCGGTTCATTTTAGCAATCCAGTGCAGCGTTTTCATGGCAGCATCAGTCTTTCCTGCTGATACGTTGTAACGAGCCGACTCAGGAATAAACTGATTTGAATCAATACATACAGAAACAGCAGTCAGCCTGGGTTCACGAGCCTCAATACATCCACCAATCAGAAACTCACATCAGCCTTGATGAGATTATTGTGGCAACTTAGTCTTCCCCAGCTTATGCTTTAAGTGGCACTTCATGTGATTTCTACTAGTTTAGTGACTCCGCTTCTCTTTTTGTTCACCCCTCTCCTTTTGGCACTTTTAGTTTAACAACCAACAACCTAAAACCTGACAAACTACTTCAGAACCTCCAAATCATCCCTCACTTCTTTTAGTAACTGTGAATTATTACAGCAAGACTAAAACATCTTTGAAAACCTCTCTAGGTATCTTTCATTCTTCGTTTAATTTGCCCCACTGAATGTTAATATGTGAATTCATTTCTAATCTAATGATCACAGCACTGCTGCACAGGTTAGGGTGGACAGGTGAGGGGCATATCTCACCTTAAAGAGGAAGATGAGGATGATACTGGGCGTGACAGAGATCCGAATCATCCACCTCCAGCCCAAAGTTGGAACCACCAGCATACCCAGAATGATGATAAGCATGGAGCCCAGCATCCAGAATATCTGACACACAAACACAGAGCATGCTGGGAGATCTGAACTGATGACATCACACCATACAGGTAACTAAGCTGAGTTTGAGGATGCCTTTAAAAAAAACCCATGGGAGAAAGACAAACAAACAACGTGACGTGAGCTGAAGCGGTTACCCATGGAGCTGTGCTCTCTCCATGATGGGTATTAAGCATTAAAATGAGGCTGGCAACAGACCATTATCTGTGATTTATGATACATGTACGTGTTTTAGAGATGGACTCTGAGCTTTCCTGCTGTCGCCTTGTGATGTTTTGTATTTGCTGGCCATCTAAAACTTTATCTTTCTCACATCTCTTTAAAAACAGAATATTATCTCCACAAGACTGTGATTAATAACTGTGTGTATACACTGACACGTGTTTCTTTGATTGTATTGCCTTAAAAAGATAATACACCTACTCATGTTTTATGTTTTTATCTTTTATGCTGAGCATGTTGAGTTTTCCATGTAATAAAATCTGCGTCAAGCTGCTATTGCCCATGATTATTATGAAGGTCAAATAAAAACACTGGATTTAACCCTGTGAGGTCCTCAGTAATGGGCACTAGAACCCTCTCAACTTCTGTGCTATCACAATATCTGATTTCCAAAACATGACCTTAGAGATGAGGATTAGAGCAGAGTAAGGAAGGAACTGCGAGTGAAATAACAGCTGGTGACAGGAAGTGGGTGAGCCCTCAGTAAAACGTTTATCAACTTCCAGGTAAGCAATAAGGGCAACGACCAACGGAGTCACAAATACTGTTGTCTGATATACAGCGGTGGGTTACCCAGGCAACCTCAGCCTGTAATGTCTGATAGCGACCAACTGTCAGTGATAAAGTGATGCTGATGATCGCTTCCTGTGTGGACACTCATTAGGACCTCTGTGATGTTTCGCTCTGTGAGGTCTCCCAGATGGAGCAGTACTTTGTGGTCAACATGATTCTGACTT